GTACCAAGGTAAGTGTGGTTTGAATACTCTTTCTGTATTATTAAGGTCTAATCCTTCTTTAGTCCTCTAAATAAATATTTTAATTTTGTTACAGAATTTTAAGTATTTCAAAGGCTGATTCTCTCTAGTCTATAAATTCAGAAACAGCGGTGTCTCAAATTGAGTTGATGATAAGTGTCAACACTTGATGTTCTTTTCACATCTTTTCTTCTCTTTTATTGACTGGGAATATTGAAGAATCTGGCTCCAGTTTCAGACACACATATGTGTGTGGTTCTGTCTGGCCTGAAAGTTAGTGTTCTGCAGTGAAGCTGTGTTACCATTAAATGCTCATGAAACCTGGTGTTATTTTACTGGTTTTGAGGAGTTAGTGCTACAGCAGTAGAAACTTAGGAAGAAACTCAAACTATACTGCAAGTTATAATGAATCCCCAACTATTCCTGCATCATTAGTGGGTGGTGGGAGTTAACTTTAACAGTACAGACTAATGCAGTCAGCTGCCTTGTTCTACTGCTGTTTGAGCTGGGGGCTGAATGAAACGTCTTCCTTCACTCCAGGGGGAGTGTGTATTGATGTACACACATGCACAGACATTATACTTACATAAAATGACCTCTAGGTTATAACTTAAGATGGCAAATCCAAAAGATTATTACATAAAAGCATCCTTTTGGAAGATTGAATGAAATCACGCAAGCCGCTCTTGTGCTGGTAGATCTCTTGGGTGTCTAAAACTAAGCTCAGGTGCATTCAGATGAGAGGCAGTGTCAGGGATTATCATGTAGTGATATCCCTATTCATCAGCTTCCTTCTGGTTCTGATCCAGTAGGTGTTTTGCAGCCTTTTTCTCACTGTGCTTGGGTTAGGAGCCCAGAAGAGCCCTGAGCAGCCTCAGTCACTACAGTCAGTTTTTATTAGAGGTTAGCTTGTTCTTATTTGCAGGATCCAGACTTCTCAACACCTTCTCAAAGGCACAGAGTCCTCAACTGTGTTTTTCTACTGCTGTGTCTTACTTGTTGAGTATATTGCTGCTGTGTTAGATCCCCTTTGGCTCTGTCTGTACAGGTCTTGAACCTCTGCAGTGGAAATGAGGAGATTGTGCATCCTGAGAACGTCTGGAACGGAATTCCTGACAGGGCTCGCAGATCAGCTGAGGTATGGCAGTGTGATACTGGACTGGGCAGGACAGTACAGGTTTTTAGAAAGGTTGCTAACTGCCTGCTAAGTCATGAAAAATACTTCTATTGTGGAGCAATTAGGAAGGAATAGTAAGGTTTTCACCAGTGTTCTTCATGAAGGACCTACCAGTGGATGAAAAACTCATGTCTGGAACCCAAGGCTCTGGTCATGAGCCATGCTGCTGGTGATGACAACAGCATGAATTTCCAGTTTGTTCTTCACATGCAGCCTTTGTATCCAAGTGAAAAGTGGGCAGAAGACTAATGTAGTGAGTTATGGGAGGAAAACAATGGTAAATAGGAGTCAAATAAGAAGTTAGTCTAGCATTAAAGGAAACACCTCAATGGAAGTCTTGGCAATAGTGCCAGCTTCCTAACAGGATCCCTTTTTGTGTAGGCATTAACCCCTGCAACAGAAAACTTGCAGTCCTTACCAGAGGAGTCCTTACTTCAAGGTAAGTCTACCTTAAGCCCCCACATGGGTTGTGTAGTCTGTGTTTGAGTGGTTTCTAATTTTCTAGGAAATGCTTTATATTAGAAAATACAGTTGAAGCACTAATTTGAGCTTATGTAGTTGACACTGTTGGGATTTTCTTGATAGCATTAGCTTATGTACTGTCAGTTTAAGGGTTACTACATGGAATGAAAGCTGCTACTGTGTCTGGTATTACAAACCAATTTAGTATTCATTTATTCATCTAATGAGCTGAGCCTCTTGGAACAGCTGGGGTGGTTGACCCAAGTTAGAGATTTTGGCAGGATTTTGAGCATTGCCATCAGCATGCTGTTCTTGGTCATGTTTCTGAGGCAAGGTGAGCAACTGCTAGGCAGACTCTATTAAGCATTTAGTTTAGCATTTGAGGGCCCAGTCCCATAATCTATGCATCTAAATCCATAATAATACCATTTTAGTTGTTGTAATGATAGTTTGTAAATAGTACATGTATATCTTTATTGTTACTTAAAAATTTTGAAGTGTTGCTGGTAAACACCTCTTAAGTGTACCAAATAAATAGTACAGGTTCTTTTTGTTTATATGCTAATATGGAATTATAGAGCAGTTCTGGTTGAAAGGGGCTTTTCCTGGTGGTGAATGCAGGGCCAAATAGATCAGGTTGTTAAAGGAACTGTTACTGCCAGTTCTGGAATCTGTCCAAGAATGGAGACTCCAAAACCTGTCTGGGCAATTTGTTGCTGTGGTTGCCTGATGAAGACTAAACTGAGTTGAAGTGGGGATAGCATTTGTGCTTTCAGGTATTAATTGATAACTATATTTCAATATAACTACTGGTTTATGGGTAACAAATAAGAAAGCCTGCAACAGAGATCAGGTTGCCTGTTGAGCAAGAAAAAGGGTAAAGAATTTGATAAAACGTTAAAATGGTCCATCTAGAAACTGCAAATCGCACCCCTCAAATGCAGGATTATTCTTGATTTTGTGGATTTTATTCTGTTCTTGAACCCTTTGCATGGAGTTAGTGTATGCATTCTCAGCACCAGCACAGGAAAGGTGAGTCGGGGTCATGCACTCACATGTCACAGAGCTGGAACCTGCTGCACACACAGCCTGGAAAGGCAGTTTGAGTAGGAGGTGCTCACGTGCATAAACTCTTGCAGTGGTTTTTGCCAATCCCACTGAGGGATGGAGTAACTTGAACTCAAAACTGAAATCTGGGAGTGCTGCTGCTTCATCTTCTTGGGCACTTCTGCTGTTTCAGCTGGTTTATCTTTGTCTAATAAATTAGTCTTTTAACATGGTCCAGAATGTCAGTAGTATTTAGTATTTAGCCCTTTTGATCTTTATGCCCTTATACACATTTATAGAAACCTCTTGATGGGTCTGTGTTTTATTCCCTATAGAAAAGCAAACTGGCTGCAGTAGCAATTTAGCTGAAGATCCTCATGTCCTCCAGCAGTGCTGAAACCAAGTGGCAGGTTGACCACGTGAAACTGAACAAGTGCCTGTGTATGAAATGCTCCCATGAAAATGTGTTTGTGGGAACAAAAATACCAGCAGAGCATTGAGTGGCTTATTTTTTCTACCTAACTGACCAAATACCTGTCACTACTGAACTTCCCTATAAAGGAACAGTGTTGGCAGACTGTTATTTTCAGCTTGTTTTCTTCCAGATGTTGTTGCTAGACTGTTGTTGTTAGCTTGTTTCTTATAGCTATAATTTCCTAAATAAGAGTTTGCTCTTGACTGGCATTTTTTATTGACTGGGGGTGCACTGACATGTGTGGAGTTCTTGGTGGGTGGTTTTTCAACAAAAGTTTCTTGTGAGTTTCTGTATATGCTATTGTGTTGTACAGCACTGCTTTCTGATGTTTGCTTTTGGAAAAGTTGCATTGTTAAGTGTTTTTTTCTCAAGAAAAAAAAAAGTTGAGGGTATTTTTGGGTGGTAGGGAGAGGTTTTTTTTCCTCTGTAGGGGAACATAGTTGTTTTGGTTGAAGTCTTATATTTGCTGCTGTTGTAAAGCAATGGAAGAAGCTGGAATAAAGCTTTGGCTGGCATATACTGTTTTGTTTGTGTGTTTTAATGACTTGTGTCTGTTCCTGTGCAGAAGCCCAAATGCTGTGTGAGGGCTGTTCTACAGTCACTGGTTGTGTTTTGACCCTTACCAGCTCTCCAGAGCACTGTGAGCTATGGTGAATATTTTGAAATGTTAATTGTACTTAATTAATTGAACGTGCTGCATTTGTACTAATGAAAGCTTTTCCTATAAATATGAAGAAGAAACAATGGCATGGTTCTGCTGCCACATGTGTGCAACATGCTAAGCTGTTTTAAGGAGATCTCACCATTTACTCTCCTCAGGTGTTGCAAAGGAGGTGCTATTTTATAGTGGCGTTCCATGCTGCTGTGTAGCACTGCTCCCTCCTCTTCAGAAGCTTTGGATTTTTCATGCTGAAACAAGGATTTAGGAACCCAAGCTGGCTGATAGTGAATCTCACAGTAGATCTCAAGTGTTAGTGCTGACTCATAAGACAAACATGTTTATTTGCTTCACAGAGACAATACACGGCACTAGGCTGCAGATAATTTAATTAAATTCTGAAAGACAGGTCTTAGTTGTTATTGCAATCTCATTTTAATATCACAGATTATGTAAAATACTTAATTACACTGTTAATTTCTTAATTTGCTTCCATGGTTTTGTTTGTAACCTGATTTTGAAATGGACAGAATTTAGAAGACACTCTTCCATGGGGCAGCTTCTGGCAGTTCTGATCCAAAAAGGAGAGCCTAAAAAGGCCACCCAGGTGGCTGCTGGCAATCTTTGTCCAGGTACTACCACTGCTGTCTGTATCTGTCAGTGGGAGCCAGCTGAGTCACCTAGAGACCATTGTGAGTACCTGGAGGAAGCTGGGTGTCTGGGGAGTGTTTACTGCCTGGAGCTGAAGCAGTCCTACCAAGGACCATGTAAAAGGAGCTGCAGAGGTGCCACATCTGTACTTCCCCTGCAGTCTGACTGTGATAGTGGAAACTCAGACAGGGGAGGAGCTGCTGGAGCTTTGCCCAAGGGCAATTACAGTTGCTACTGGAGTGACCCATGGAAAAGCTTCTGAGATATAAACATCATCCTCTACGTATGGCACTAAACACATCCTACATTTAAGTGGATTAAGCTCCTGTGAGGAGTCCTGTGTCTGGACTTTCTCTGCTGTCAGCTGAACTCTTTCCTGTAGCTTTTACTGTGACTTATTTTACTAAGACACAGTTTAGAAGATCACCCTCCACAGGCATCCCTAACTCCCAGCTGCTGTCACAGCACAGCTGAAATACTTAGAATCTAAACAGACAAGTGGTGGTTTGGGGTTTTTTTTTTGTTTGTTTCTTTTCCCCTACGCTGCAGGAAATGCTTCCTGGATGCAAACTGACATAAAGCTTGGTAAACTAACTTGTAGCTGAATTCCTAGGAGCTCTACTGTCTTTCTGCAAACTTGATTCCAGTCAAAACCAGAAAGAGCATTTAAATTATTACCAAGTGATTTCCTCAAGCTGCTTACAAAGCAGAAGTTACCCTATTACAGTATTTCAGAGCATCCCACTAACTCATTTGAACAGAACCTCTGTTTTTATGATTATGTAACTTAATGCCTTGCCTTTTTTTTTTTCTCCACACCCCAAAAGCTGTCTAGGTGTTTAATGCCACCACATATCTGAGCAATGTCTGACCAATATTAGTGTCCTGATGTCCATGGCATTTTCAGTACTTTGTGTTCCTTACTCAGGTTCAGCTGGAGATGTGTCAATATTAGTTCCAGGAATAACATTGGGTCCTATTCCATCCACAAGAGAATCCCACTGATCAAAATCCTTCTTAAGACCTATAGGATGGGGGAAAGAAAACCAAGTGGCCATGAGTTAAGTAACCAGCTTTTTGTAAAACTGCACTGAATAATGAAATCAATTTGGCAAAGTAGGGAAGGAAAAATGTTTTAAGGAGGAAAAAATGATACTCCAGATTTGTTTTGTACCAGAACAAATGTTAGTGATTTGCCTCTGAGTTGCCAAGATTACAAAAGTAACTGACAAACCTCTACAAGAAGTCTGACTTATTTTTTCCACTGACACACTTATTTTGATCTTGTTTTAAACTGAATGGTTATATAAAGAGCTTCACAGGAATGAAGTATTAGTCAGCTTCATACTTAGCTGTAAACAGATACTTACTCAGATGTTTCTGTAGGAAGGCTAATGAAGCATGATTGCTGATATCAATAGCTTCATTTGGATCTATTTCTCCTTTTAATTTGAAAAATCTTGCAATGATTCCTCCACTCACAAATGTGAAATCGGGAAAGCTCTGATGTACTGACCCCCTGCAAAGAGAAAAACAATCAACAGGCCTGTAAGACTACATTAAATTGCCTGACTAAAAGATGCACAGGCTTCAGTCAAATGTCTTGGGCTGTCTTTAAGAGAAGATAAAAGAACTTTTAATCTCACAAGCAAGATTAGCAGGAAATTCTGCCCTAACCACAGAAGGGAGGAAGGTTTGTACATGTTTGCTGTAAGTCACTGTAACTGCAACAGCAATAAAGAGCTGGCTTGGCAAAGCATCAAAATCAAGTTGTCTCCCTGCTCAGTGGTGCAGGATAGAGCCATCCCTCCCTGGCTGCAGAGCTGCCCCCAGAAAGCTGTTTTAAGTGTTCATGCACAACACTCAGCACAAAGCTTGTGTCCCAGGGCAGGAATGCACACCTTGGAGTGTCTTAAACTTGGGGTTCCTGGCTGCTTTGAGAGGTCTCTGTCCCTGCTATAGGGGATGTATGGCTAATTTAAACATACACTGAAAACCTGGGCCATGAGGGCAGACAGTCATAGTACAGTCAGTATCATTTAGGCTGGAAAAGACCTTTAAGATTATTAAATCAGACCATTAACCCAGCACTGCCATTCCATCTCTAAACCATATCCCTCAGTGCCACATCTACACATCTTTTAAACATCAGGGATGGTGACTTCCCAGCTTCCCTAAACAGCCTGGTCCAATGCCTGATGACAGTTTAAATGAAGAAATATTTCCTAATATCCAATCTGAACTGCCCCTGGTATGACTTGAGGCCATTTCTTCTTGTTCCCTGGGAGAAGAGCCTGACCCCTCACCTGGTTCCACCTTCCTCTCCAGGAGTTGTAGAGTGAGGAGGTCTCCCTGAGCCTCCTTTTCTCCAGGCTAAACATCCCCAGCTCCCATAGCTCCTCTTCCTCCTCAAACTTGTGCTCTAGGGACTGTCTGTCTGCAGTTACCTGTGACTGCACAGCTCCAACAAGAGTTTCAACCACAGAGATGATGGCTCCTGAGCACTTACTTGATTGTGATCATCTTCTTGTTTGTGTCATTGGAGATGAGCTTCTTAATCTTTAGGATGTTCTCAGCCCACTGGAATTTTTCAGAGTTGATAAAAAGTAGCGGTTGCTGGACACTGTTTTGGTAAATGTCATCACCTACAGGAAGCATCCACACGTCGAGGGCAATGCCACACCTGCCAAAAACATCTGGATATTGGCACAGAAGCAGAAAGCCTGGAAGTTCTGAGTGTGCTTTGAGTTGCAAGAGGCATGGGAAAGACAAAGTCTCTCTGATATCGAACAGGTAAATTAATCACTTTGTTTCATAATTATCTCTACTCTGGGGGAAGAGAATTAGTCCATTCTTTCCATATGTTGGTCTCCACTGCCAGGTGCAGCTGGACTGCAGGGTCCCACAGTAGCATGATATAATAAGATGCAGCTGTTATGTTCCACCACATCCCCACACTTGGAAAAAGCATGGTTGGAGAAAGCCAGACATGCCAAACAACACTGTTCTTGAGGAGCCAGTTAGCAGGTGGGGGATCCTAGGTAAAGTGCCCTGCTCCAGACCTCTCAAGTGCCAAATGTCTCTGGCCTTGTTTTGCATACTTACCTAAATCTTATTTCTTTGCTGAGACTTTCAATAACTGTAGCACCACCAAAAGAGTGTCCCATCACAGCTATTCTGCTAGTATCAACAGAATCCTGTCAAAAAAATCCAGGTGCTGTAAGAGACTTTCTTTCCCAAACTTATGTTTTTAAAGGGAATAATTTTTTTAGGCATTAGATCCTACTGAAGTAGGAAGAGCATCATTTCAGCTCCGTTATTCTCTAGCTTTGGATGACCTGAGAATATTTTCAGAGATCTACACAGTGATCTGCAGAATACTTTACATGAGCCAGTTTAGAAATGGAAGGGGGAAATGAGAAGCATTATTAAGTGTTTCACAAAATTCAGGTGGCACCTTCCACTCACCTTTAGGCTGTTCCAGTCAAAGTCTGAATGTAACACATTCGTTACTTCCTCTCCTGAATTGATTTTAAGAATGAGATTGAGAGCTTTGATACACTCCTGTGCTCTTTGCTGCACCTGGGGAGAAAGAGAGGTTGAGCCATAGCAGTGGAAGGAATCATCAGACAACTGCCAGGCTTAAGACCCCCCTGGACACATGACTTTATCTGGTAATTTTCCCCACTATTCTGAACTGCAGAACCTCTGCACACAGAGGCATTTATCCCTGTAACATGCATCAAAGGCCTTCAACTCCTTTGTCCTGTCACTGCTTAAAAGGGGTTGTTGGGATGTGAAAGGCTTAAGTTTCAAAACTCCAAGGAAGGCTGACTCACTGATGCTTCTCAGGCTCACCTGGATGAGCAAATGTCATTCTATCACTTGCCCCATCACACAATAGCCTTGAAACTGTCTTTACACTGGATAAACCAAACTAAGAAAAAGTGAAGCCCATCCCATTTTTTATATATACTCATCCCTGAAAATTGTAGTGAAGCTGTTGAAAAAAAGGTTTTCATTGTTCCATAAGAACAGTTTTTAACTAGTATGTCAGTAAAATAAAAGCTTCAAGAAGAACCAAGGAGTAGTAGCGATCTTGGGAACCTCAGTATGTAGGCAGGCAACAAGATGTCTGTGCATCACTGAATTTCAAATAAATCCCAATCTCCTGACTTGTGAAATTTGCAGACAACAGCTTCTGAAGGTTATTTCCAAGCCCAGACATAACACATTGACACTCACGGGTAGGGCACTGTACTCACCCAGGAAATGACTCTTGTAGTATTGTCTGTATGGCCCAGGGAGATAAAGAGAAGCACCTCCCTGGCTGAGTTTTCATTAGCTGGAAAAACCACTCCCATATTTTAAAGGTCAAGTGTATGCTTGGAAGAGCTTGTCAGTATAGCCATTACATCCAGCTTGGATACTGCTTATAATAAATTTGAAGTCTGCAGTGTTTACATTGCTAAAAAACACCTTCAAGTGTGGTAAGGACTATAAAGCAAACATCCCACTCAGAGCAGCCATGATTCATCATTCCATGAACAGTAAACGAAAGCTAATGCAAGCCTAAGGCCACACAAACACTTGAGCTCAACTCTGTGTCACTTTTAGGCTGGGCTGGGCAGTAAAAGTGTAGGAGACAGAGAAGAAACAAAAAGTTCAGTAGGACCAGAAGAGAAACAGATAACTCAGCTCAAGAGTGCTACTTCAAGAAAAAGCTTTGTTGAAGGAGCAGCTTGTGCTCTGAAGAAAGCTGTTGTTGGCTGTTCCACTTTCAGGGGCACAGGACTTGATCCATTTTCATATCTCCCCAAGCCATGGCAGAAGACTGCTCCCCTGGCCAAAGGGAGACTCTGCTAGCGCTAAGGACAGCCCTCCTGCCACACTTCCCAGAGCACAGAGCCAGCCCAGGCACCTGTTTATGGCGCAAGCAACGCTCCTCCTCTCCAGTTTTCAGTTTCCTGTAGTAGATCCACTCCTTCTCCATGTTAGGCACAGACTCTTCCTGTGACTCAGAAACGGACCTTCTTTTACAATAATATGTGGCTGAAGCAGATTCATCTCTGGAATACCAAGAGGAGGTTATTTCTGGGTGTGCATTCCATTTGGTTTGAGATGAAGTCAGCAGAAGTTTCCAATTTCACTCATCTGAAGAGATCCAGCTATCAACCAGTGCCGCTGCAATTGCAACTCGAGTGTACACAGACTTTCTAAATAACACAATAACCCCACCAAAACTCCCACCTCCTCTACATTATTCCCCTACTTTATATTCTAACAATAAGAGTGAGACAAATAGCACATCTGAAGAATGACAAATTATATCTACCCCAAGACTTTTCATTCTAGGGCTTATATAAACAAAATTCCCTTTGTTTGGAGAAGAGATGAGCTATGGGCAGTGTGGGCAGGACTGAAAAAGAGATGTTAGTTTTTCTTTTTTTTTAAAATACAGAAGTTCTTCTTTAGAATAAATAACATTTTGTTCTATGTGAGAAAGTTACTTTCCACCAGAAATCAAAATGTGCAGCACACTCACCTGTGCTCCACAGCAGCCACTATAAAGCCCTGAGAAGCCATCTCTATGCAAATAGCAGAATAGATTGTCCTGCAATAAAAACCACACTCTGGTGAGATGTCATTCTTTCAATTCCATTGCTCTTTAAATGCTGACCACACTGGTATGCACTAGTCTCCACTCAATATTTCTTCTCTTTGATTTGCTACCCAGCAGAGCAAGATTTCGTATGCCAGGTACCAAAGCCTGTTCACAAAACCTTGGTACTGTTTTACTGCCTATTCAGAAAGGAAAATGCCACTGATTTTTAGTAAGTAGCATACACAGCACTTTGCATCTTCAAAGAGCTGTCCAAAAATAAAGCAGCTAATCTTCACAACATCCTCATAGGCTGGTAAATATCTTCACCTCCATCATACAAAGGGAAAACACAAATGGAGCTCTGAGCAACCTGGTCTAGGGGAAGCTGTCCCTGCCCACAGCAGAGATGATCTTTAAAGACCCTTCCAACCCAGGCTGTTCTATTACTCTGTGACCAGCCATACACCAATCCTGCTGTTGTTTCAGTGGGGGCATAATGACACATGGCAACCTGTTCTTCAAATCTGTTTCAGCTCCACAAGGATCTCACCCCCCTACTGAAAATCTGTTCAGAACCACCCTTGGAGACTGCTGTCTCCATAGACAACAAAACCAGTTTATCAACAAACTGCAAAATTACCGAAAAGCTCCAAGTCCATGGGAAAAAACAATAAGTGGGTATTTTTCTCCTGGCTTAAAAGCAGCATTTGACTTTGCAGGACAGGTCACTGAACCTAAATAAAAATGAAAGTGTACATCATTATTACTGGAATGAGAGAAAGCATTTGTTCCTGTGGGAGAGATCCCAAGAATGTAGTGATCACTAATATCAGAGCAATCACCTAAAGATAAGGTGCCAAGACTCATCTTTAAAATAGAAAGCAAATACAGATCTGATTCTGAAAATACATTTTACTTGGCAGAAGATACTTGTCTTCTCCTCCTTCCATCCACAGCCTGGCACAAGTCTGCATATCTCTTAAATCTTCATAGTCAGGCATCCAGGTCTTGCTGATATTCTCTGACTTTTGTATCTTTGCACATTTCCTCGTGGGATTTAAATCACAACACACAGGTGCAGCTGACCTAGAGGAAACTGCCCAGACACTTCTGTGCAGAGCAGTCAGGGACTGTCTGAGAGCTGGGGCCACATTTAGCACTCTCACTACACAAACCCATCCCACAAAACCACACCTGTTTACTAAAAACTCTTTTTCAGCCCTGCAGCAGTAACACTCATGGAGCACAGAGGCAGTGACAGCAATAAAGGAATAAAACAAGAACAAGTCTTACCAACATAGTAATGGAAAAGCCTTTCTCCTACAACTCGGTACAGATTAAGGAAGTCAGAGAGTCCCTGATAGTATTCTTTGTCTGGAATCCATCGTGCCTCCTCGATATCTGTGGCATCATGTGCTGGATAATACAGGCGCAAAAAGCTTCCCTGGGATTAGGAAAAAATAGGGAAAAAAAGGAATAATGCATTTATTTATATATGGCAGAGAAAATGGAAGCTTAAAACAGTTATAGAAAAGGTGCAGGTTGCAAGAATGCAGTTCAAGAGAATGATGAGAATCTCACAAGAAAATGATTATCATATACAGGCTTTGATGCCAATCCTATGTCACAATCTTCCTGTGCCTACAATGAATTTAAAGTAACATGAGATACATATCATCACAGCATGTGTGGAGATACACATGACCTTCTCTAGGTTAGCTTAGGGCTTATTAGAAATGCTTCATTTAATTAAGTTAATTATTACAAACACTCACTACCTATTTGCTCAATCCAGCGTCTTGCTGGATCTTTTCTTCTGTCTTCTTCACTAGGAATGGTTTGATGATGTGTTTTGGTAAGTTTTATAGGGCTGTTGAAGGGGTGACTGAAGATGACCTGAGAGCTGGAGCTCTCCGAGCATGACAGGATGAGAGAGCTGGGGCTGTTCAGCCTGGAGAAAGTAAGGCTGTCTAACGTGGCTGTAGTGTTCCTGCCTAAACTGAGCCGAGGCTGTCAGCAAAGTTCTTGGGCAGCTGCACAGCAAAGGAGAACAATACATCGCTCTTCCTCCTCACCAAGAAGTTCACAAGTCTCTTGTGGTCCATCTTTCTAAACACAGCTTTGTTAGCTTGTGTTTCATCTGCCTCAGTTAAAAACTCTTGCTGTCTGTACTCCAGGTATCCCAGGAAAGCACCCAAGCTTTCCACACTCACAGGGACCTTCCATACCCCCTTGTCAGTCTTTTTCCTTTACAGACAGCAGCAGTGTATCAATGCACACCACAAAGCAGACTTCCCAGCACATAAACTGTGTGCAATTTGCATTATTTCCTGGTTTGCAAGGGAATTTTCAACACCCCATTCAAATGTCTTGCTCCAGCTGTATTTTGATTTTAGCAAATAACAATCAGGGCCAAAATAAACATGAGCTTTGAAATAAAGCCTGATTTCTTGAACACGAACTTATCAGTTTACCAAAAGTTTGTTTAATTAAGCTTGTTTCTATTCACTTATCAAACCTGAATCAACCTTTGACACAGAGACCATTATGGAAGAACTTTCCTCCACATTGGTAGTGATATTAACTTGATCTCAGAACAGTCCCAGTGAGCCTCCCCAATGACTAACTGATTACCAGAAAGGGGAAGAGGTTCATTATTTATGCCTGAGAGAACTGCAATTGCTCATAATGCTTATGTAAAAAACCCACATGGGCTGACTGCAAAGAGAAACTCATAATTTCTCTGTGCTGATACAGAATAAGCTCAGTAAAGGAAAATATATGAACCATTGCAAACTGATCCCAAGTTCCACTCCCTCTGGCTACTTTGTGGAGTAAAGCCACGGTGTAAATGCAGATGTATTCTCACAAAGGCAAGAAGATTTGAAATGGAAACTCACAAGCAAACTCATTACTTGTATGGTTAATGTCCGAGTCTTACTATTGTGACTTCTCACTGTGCTAACCTCTTGCAAAATTGACATCCTGTTCATCTTCAGTGAGATAACATCTCAAGAAGACGTCTTGTCTTTTACCCTGCACCTGAAACACTACACAGGCTCACCTCCCAACCCTGCCAAATCCTGTTGGGATCTTTGTGATGAGAACAGCCAGAGTCACAGGGTCTGCATGTGGAGTCTCCTCAGGAGCCCAGCACCAGAGGGAGGAGTGGGTGGGAAGATCCCCCTGGGTTCCAGGAGGACACAGTTTCTCTGCAGTATCTTGTGTAGGTGAGTCAGAAAGGCAAGGACATTAAAAGAGGGAGGAGTTGGCCATGGGAAAGGCTTGCAGGTTACGTCCATTTGGTAAATGCCCAGTACACATCCTACACCAGGATGGAGAGGACAGAAAGCTCAGCTGTGAGTGTCAGCATGGAGCACACAGGCAAGACCTTCTGCTTTAAAATTGCAGCCAGTTGTTTCACTACCATTGTGGCTTAAATCCAAAGAGTCAAGAGCTTTACCTCGACTGCATTTTCTGTCATCAGGTCTGTACATCCAACCGAGTGTGGTCCCTTTCCTTCAGGGATCCTGTAAAACTTCTCAGTGCTGCTGGTGCCCCACATTTCCATTGGTGCCTTCACCGACAAAGCTGGGGGAAAACAGAAAGCAAATCAAGAGACCACCATGGCCTCTGTGACCAGATCACCCACACTGAAACAAATCCAGCACGCTGAAAATCCAGAATTAAGAAAATCAAGATTAAGCCAATACAGAAATCTGCTCGTGAGAAACAAAGAAATCCCGAATTGCCAACCTGACCTGTTCCACTGGGGATTTTCCTTGCTGTATCCTGAATCCCAAGGTGCAGACAGCACCGTGCACTTACAGAAAAGTGGGATGAAACTTTTGGCTGGCGAGGCCGCGGCGGCACTCGGGAGCTCTGCGGTGCTACGGACCGCACAAAGGGAGGATTCTGCTGCTCCTCAGGGAAAACCGGCCTGTGCATCAGGGGGAGTGGGGTGTCACGGAGAAACACAACGCCGCTGCCATTTTTCCAGCAGGAATGACGAATCCCAGGCTCGGCCCCCGGCGAGACAAGGTCGGGCTGCCCGTGCCGGAGCGGGTGTCGGGGCGGTGTGGCCGAACCTGGGCTGACCCCTCCGCGCCGGGCTGGCCCCGGCGATGCGCAGAGCGCGGGGGAAAGCAGCCGCATCCCGGGCTGGGCTCTATCTGCCGCCTTCTCCTTGGGGAAGGCGACACGGAGCCATCCTTCCCCCGGTACCCCGCCGCCCGGCCGCGCTGCCCCGGGGCGGGGCTCCGGGTGCGATGTCACGGCTGCTCCTCCCCGGAAAAGCCGCGGGGCCGGAGGCGGCTCCGCCCCGGAAAAGTCCCTCTCAGGCGGCGGCGCGGCGGATCCCGGTCCCGCGAAGATGGTGCGGAAACTGAAGTACCACGAGCAGAAGCTGCTGCGGCGGCTGGACCTGGTGAACTGGGAGGCGTCGGGCGGGAACTTGGCGGAGGTGCGGGCGCTGCGGCGGTACCGGGTGCAGCGGCGGGAGGACTACGTGCAGTACAAGGCGCTGGCCCGCGCCGTGCGCGCCCTGGCCCGGCGGCTCCGCGACCTGGGCCCGGCCAGCGCCGCCTTCCGCGCCCGCTGCGCCGCCGCGCTGCTGGAGAAGCTGCACGGGCTGGGGCTGGTGAACAGCCGGCAGTCGCTGGCCGTCTGCGAGAGCCTCTCGGCCGCCGCCTTCTGCCGCCGGCGCCTGCCCTGCCTGCTGGTGAAGCTGCGCATGGCGCAGAACCTGCGCCACGCCGTCACCTTCGTGGAGCAGGGGCACGTCCGCGTGGGGCCCGAGGTGGTGACAGACCCCGCGCTCCTCGTGCCCCGCGCCGTCGAGGACTTCATCACCTGGGTGGACGCGTCGCGCCTGCGGCAGAAGGTGCTCGACTACAACCAGGAGCGTGACGACTTCGACCTGGCCGCCTAGGGCTGCCCTGCTCACAGGACACGCACACCGATAAGACCACGGTGATGCCACCACGGGATATTCACACGCCTGCAAAGGGAGCCAGAAGGAAACTGTGTGCTTCCAGTGTCGCATTGACCTGCTCCTGGCTCCCTTTCACAGCTCATGGTTCCATTCGTCCATGCAGAGGAACAACCTTTACACATACAGTGCTTCGAGAATACATCCAGTGGCCCGGCTTCATCGTTGTCTCCATCATCAACCCTGGCATTCCCAGCTTCACTGTCAGCCCAGCAGCTCAGCTCCATCATCATCCCCAATGTTTCCAACTCCATCATCATCCCTGGCATGCTGTCCTGGTTCAGGGCAAATTTTCCTTCTCCCCCACTCTTCACTCTCAGATCTAGTTTTAAAGATCTTATTTCAGAACTTATTTCTGGGCTAAAGAGACAGATGGGATACCAGCATCACCCCAGGACACATCTCAGCTCCATCATCATCCCCAGCGTGCCCAGCTCCCTCATCCTTAAAAGTGCATCTCCATCATCCTTACATCCCATAAAGCAAAAGTGCTTGGAAAAGTCTCTGCCCAGTCGCAGGAGAGGATTTAGGTCAGGCTCAAGTGCTTGGCAGCTTAATAGTAGCTGCTGGAAGGGGTTTTAAGCCAAGCCTAGTGGCTGTTTTAAGATTGAATTTAGCTGCTTCGCTGCTCTTTGTCCTGGTTCCTCCTTCAGCTGTTGAATGCACAGGAATCAGATTACTTCTGGAAGGGTTTCCCATGATATCAAGGAAAAAGGAGGGGATTTCTGGGGGTCAGCAGTAAACAAGAAGGCCAAATACAGTGTTTCTGGAACTGTTAAAAATTTTAGCCAAAAACAGAATTAAAAACAAAACAAACAAAAACATTTTGTCATGTGAAATTGTGAAGGGAAGTTTGATGCTTTGAGTTGTATCTTTGATGTGTGGGGTTCCAGATGACCATTAGGCATCATTTGTGATCCATCATAAATGGATCTAACTGGGGAGGTGTTGGAGCAAAAGCTGATCTTACCTGCACATTTGGGGGAACTTTTGCATTAGGCACATTAGCCAGGGGCTGTTGGGAACTTTGTTCTCTTTTGATTAAAAAAAAAAAAAAAATAAAACTGTTGGGGTTTTTTAGTTGGTAAAGAAATGTGTGGACTGCTTTATTATATAGTTTCTCTGAGTTTATTCTGATTTTTAAATGGTCCAGTAAGCCCTGTTTGCCACCTTTCAGAACTTTTTTTAAATTTAAGTTTTCATGTCACTTATGTAAGTCTGGTTTTATTTTAATAGCTAGAGGGCTATTACTGAGTTGTAACGTGTTTATCCTAGGAATGCTTTCTTTCCCTTAGCCAGGGCTATGAAAGGATTTGGCAGTAGGTTTAGGAGCAGAGCTGTGACTGTCCATCCCAAATCCAAAGAGCTGGAGTGCAGCTACTGTCAAAGCTCTGGATGTGGATGCCTTAGTGTGGCTTTTTTGAACAATAAAAATGTTCAAGTGAGATATGTTTTGGAGGTATTGCATGACCACAGTCTGTCACCAAATATTATGTCAAGTTTTTCTAAGGCAAACAGAATGTTTACATTTCTTCCCAATCTCATAAGCCAGCTGTATTAAGCAGAACAATTATTAAAGCAATAATAGATATGAAGAAAAGGACACTAAACGGGTGGATAAACCATTTACCTACTACTGCTGTTTGTACTTGAATTTATTTCAGTAACCATATCCACCTCAACAACATCTTAACCTTTATAGAGTGTGCATCTTGCTTATGGTAAGAAATGCAGACTGAAAAGAAGTTAGACACCTTAAGCCTGACTTTTAAACACCTTCCCAGCTTCCCTTTCCTCTAGAACAATGCCATTATTTCTTGGGAAATTTAGAAGGTGCTTTATTCAGGTGTAGGTTAAAACAGTTCTTCTGCTGTGCTTTACTCTTTTGGTAGAATTTAAGTACCAGCACAGTGACTGTGCAGGGCATTTTACTACTGAGATGCTAAACTCCTGCTCTGCCCAGTGTGTCCAGCCCTTGGAGGAGCTGCAGAAAAGGAAATATCAAACCTCCAGCCTCTCAGCCTCTGCAGTTTATATCATCAGCCCATTCCTTTTGTATGAAACCTGCTTTTTATCATTCATCTGTGCACCTTCAGCATCTGTAGCAGAAGAAAACTGATTAATCATTAACAATTTATTAATTTTTAAATTAGGCAGTGGTAATTGATTTCCCTAGAAATGTGTGGGATAACAGCATCCATGACCCCTGCTCTCCTCCTGTGGTACTGGAAATCAAATTCTTAGTTCTCTGAGCAATCAGGCTGTGTGTTTTAAGTCTGGAATTTCTTAACTGTGCTGTCTGTACAGTAGCTGAGACCTGAGATGAGTGTCCTGCTCCTCAGTTTTTAGCAGCTGGCGTCCTCGCACATCCCTGACCAGAGCTGGGAACGCTTCAAGTACAATAAACAGACAAAATGGAAGTTCCAGCAGCACAGCCACATTCCTGCTGGTGATTACAACCAGGGAAATGACGGCTCTCTCGTGTTCCATTGTGTTTCTGCCTTTAGTTCCTGGGTTTGGGTTTGTTTTCCAGAGCTGACACGCTGTGGCCACTGCTGGGTGGGTCCTGCAGCAGTTCTGGAGCTGGGGATTGAAAGGGCACAGGAAGTAGCTCCGACAGCCTTTCCCAGCACTTGGATAAACATGGAGGCTTTTGTTAAATTCCAAGGCTGATCCAATGTCAGCTGCCATGGGACTGTGTGAACTGGCATGAGGATATGATCTAACACTGCCCTTTTTTGGGCCAGGTCCTTCAAACTCTCCCCTCCACTGCTCTGGGGACTTGCAGCAGGAGAACTTATGCATGTGAGAGTAACAGGATGGAGTCCTGGGTGTCACTGTGCTTCTTCCCTGTACCTTCTGAAGTGGGCTTGATGTTCCTCAGGCGCCCCTACATCTGCATGGGTCTTGTGGGAAGTTGCTCTCCAAGGCTGATCCAGTGTCAGCTGCCATGGGCCTGTGTGAACTGGCATGAGGATATGATCCAACATTGCCCTTTTTGGGCCAGGTCTTTCAAACTCTCCCCTTCAGTGCTCTGGGGACTTGCAGCAGGAGAACTTATGCATGTGAGAGTAACAGGATGGAGTCCTGGGTGTCACTGTGCTTCTTCCCTGTACCTTCTGAAGTGGGTGTGATGTTCCTCAGGCGCCCCTACATCTGCATGGGTCTTGTGGGAAGTTGCTGCTGCAGGACAGAGGAGGGTGGTGCTGGTGATGGGGCAAACTCACTCCATCCCTGACAAAACTTGGGTCACTGCCACCTCCATGTGTGCCTGTCCCAGCAGCTGGGGGGTGCAGGGGTACCAGCTTCTCCAGAAAGGGAGAACGGGGTTGCAGGGGGTCTGGGAAGTGCAAAAGCCATTGGCAAACAAGGAGCAGTTTCCAGGCAGGAGCTCTCACTTGGACAGTGGGCTGCAGGAAAGGAGGTTTTACCAGGACTTTGGTTTTAGGTTTGAGGGGGTTATTTTTTTCTGTTTTTTTTTTTTTTCCTCTTTTTTTTTTCTCTTTTTTTTTTTTCTCCTGACCTTGGCTTTCCCTTTATTTGAAGGCTGCCAAAGCAGAGAAGCTGAGGCTGAGGAATGTGGGGGAGCTGAAGGAAGGAGTCCTTCACACTGACGCCTTTTGTGCTACAATGTGTAAAAGAATGAGGCTGTCACTGAAATGCAAATGTGGCTTTTCACTGATCTGAGCTCCATTTTTTCCCAGTAAACAAGAATGCTGCATGTTTTAAAGGCTGCTTCCATCCGACATTTTGGTGTGGCTTAAGTGCTGATCTCAGTTAATCACTGACAGCACATCACCATGAGCCTTGGGGCTCAGGAAGGATGGTACATCCCCCTTCTCAAGATGGGAAATGGAGACTGAGAAACAAAGTGGGATTGGGCAATTCTCGTGTTTTTGGGTGGTGGTCCTATATGCTGGGCTAGGTCAGGGCCTTCTAGCCTTGCTGAAGAGCACTTCCCCATGCTCATCTCTGCAGCACTCCCCAGTAAGAAACCCCATAGCAGACAGAAGTCTCACTGTCCCCTTTTTGAGCTCTGAATAATGTTTTACATACATCCCCTGGCAGATCTGACCCTGGAGATTGAAACAAAGAGCCATTTCTCACCACCAGGGCTTGGGATCACCTTAGTCCCTATCCCAGAAGCCAAAACACTTCAATATTCACTGGGTCTGGGGGATTATTATCTTAAGAGTTACGTCAACATTTACGTGAGAGCCCCAGCTCTTGTCCCTGCTTTTAAATACACCATTTTTGGCAGTGAAGCATCTTTTCTGACCCACTGCTTGCTGCTTTGGGCCTGCAGCAGGACTTTGTAGTGGGAAGCCTGCCTGCTGGGAACCATCCCTTCTCACTTCTCTGCAAGCACAACAGTCTCTTCCTCCCTCGTATCAGCTGATTTTGGAGACAGAAAGTGTTTTGCTCCCAGCAGGCAGAGAAAGGGGAGGCAACCCATTAATGAGAGGTGGAGATCTGAGCATGTCCCATTCCTCCTGAAGCTGCAGTTAGGGGATCCTATGTGTCCCCAGCAGGGTTTCACCACAGTTTGATCCCACATGTCCCCAGCAGTAAATCACCACAGTTTCTGGGCTGCTGTGAACACGTCAGTGGGGTTGGTGCCCAGGCAGCACCACCACCTTCGATCCCTATCCAGTGGAGCCACCACCTGAGCTCCTGGAGAGGCTGGGGTGGTTGTGTCACAGGGTAAAGTGCAGGCAGGCTGTCCCGGCGGGTCCGTGTGGCTGACATGGACTCCTCGACTTGTCCCTTGTACCTGAGCCTGAACTTGAAACACACCAGGGCTTGAGCTTGAAACACACCAGGGGAGCCACCTTCTCTCCACACCAGCTCCAAGAGCAGCTGGGGCACAGGGTGCCGTGCACGTATCGGGATGCTGGGTTTAGAGAAGGTGAATGCTGTGCTGGAAGAGCACTCAAAGCTCCTACACCTTGTCCCTCTCTGCTTCCCTGAAGAATTTAGCTGGGGAAGGAACGCTGGAAGTCACCTAATCCAAACCCCTGCTCAAAGCAGGGCACACATGGGGCTGCCTCAGGTCTGCATGTCTCAGTGCTGAACACCTTTAGTACAGTTTAATCGCTCTCGTTGTGAATTATCTTTTCCTCTTCCATCTAGTCGGAGTTTTCCCTGCTGCAGCCTGGGACTGCTGCGTCCCATCCCCACGCTGGACACAGCCGTGTTTGAGGTGGTTTTATTTCCCTGAATGCTGTCCACACACGGACAGGCGAAGGGACATGTCCCCCTTACCCCTGTCACCCCGTTACCCGGAGTGAATGCCACCCTTCCGCAGGGCCACACAGGGATTTGGGGCCGGATAAGGGGCTGGAAGGAAGGAATGAGGGAAGCCGAGGAGCGCGATCCCTCGAGGGCTGAGGACGGCGAGTGCGAGCAGTGAAGCTGCCCGAGGTGCTGCGCACGAATTACTCAACTCCTTAAAATTCCCCTCGCGTCACCATTGCTCCTCCCGTGCTCCCCCCAATCCTTTTTTTGCTCTTTGCAGGGCTTCACGTACCTGTTGTGCGGTGTCCTGGCTGCCCCCTGCTCCCGTCCCGCCGTCCAGAAGTGCAGGATGTCCCCTCCGGCCACCCGCGGCCCTCCGGAGCGGGGCCAGCAGCGGCTGCTCCCTCAGGAGGCCGCCTCTGCTGCTCCCTCAGGAGGCACAGCGACTGCCGGGCTCTCCCCGAAGGGGAGGGACCAAACTTTGCCTTAGTTTTCAGCTGAGACAATCTTTCTGGGAGAAATCTTCCCTGGGCCTGGAAAACAAGTTTCTGGCATGGAGCCATGCCCAGCGCGTCCCAGCGGAGCCCGCGGCCGCCGCGGTGCGGGGCAGTGCCCCGGTACGGCAGGGACAGGGTCATGTGTGGGCTCCTTGTTTGTGAGCTCTGGATCTCCCGGCAGGGGCTGGGTCAAGCAGCAGGAACCCCACGAGAAAATTCCCCCGGATGGGTTGCAACACCCCGCGGAGGAGCTGCAATGCCTGTGGCCGGGTGAGCATCGGGGGACGGCGCCTTGGCTCAAGGTTGTGCTGTAAAAATACAAATCTTTTCCTCTGTCCTTGTGAGAAGGAGATAACCGCAGTCTAGGGAGGCAGATCCCACTTTTGGGTACATCTGGGGTGACTGAAAGGGGATTTAGCACAGGTCCCTGCTTGTGGGGCAGATCTGTGCTCACCCCCCTTTGCATAGTCCTGGTGTTTGCCCCCTCAGTAATGCTGAATTCAGGGAATTCACCTGAAAAACGGCAATAAAAGATTAATTTTGTGAGAGATCAACAGCTGTGAAATATCCCCATGAGCTTCAAGGCTAGCAAAGGGAGGCAGCAGGGGAGGAAGGGAGGTAGAATTTGGCTTGGCTTAAATTGCTCATGAAGTTCCCCTGTGGGCTGTCCCCTTGGAGAGCTGCTGAGCTCCTGCTTTGGGATCAGCAGCT